TTACCAACATGACATAAAGTTTACCAACATGACATAAAGTTAACCAACATGACATAAAGTTTACCAACATGACATAAAGTTTACCAACATGACATAAAGTTTACCAACATGACATAAAGTTTACCAACATGACATAAAGTTTACCAACATGACATAAAGTTTACCAACATGTATTAAGTTTAAGGAAATCTGTGGGAGGGTGTAGTAGTAGTAGTAGCATTGGTAGTAATAGTAGTAATGAGGAAGTAGTAGCAGTAGGCAGAGAAGAACTGCAGTAGGCCTACTGCTGCAAGCTAGGAAATAAAAGGAAGTAAGAAAGAGGAAAGTCAGAATATAAGAGAGGCAAAGAAACTTAAGATGACAGGTCAAGAGAAAGTGACAGGAGGAGGAAAATGTCAGGTCAAGCTCAGAACACCTGACAATGTACAGGATAAACACAGATGTACATAAACAAGCCAAGACTAACATTCATGTTAGGAAAGTTGCAGATGATGGATGACTCGCCAAGACGGCGTCTTATAGGCTGGAAGAAGGGTGGATATTTTAAGCAGAGTTAACATGAGTTAACAGGATCTCTGATGGTGTTGGCAAGCCGAACTCTGCCTCTGTGTTCTCTAAGTCATTCAGAAAGGAAGAAGGACAAGGCAAACACTTCTTGTGTGCTCTTTAAGTCATCCAGAAAGACAGCGGAGTGTTTCACCCAAGTACTGGAGTGGAAAGGAGGATGCAGGGAGCGGAGAAGACACTGCAAACATCACTGACAGGAGACGTATGAAGAAGCTTACTGAGAAAGACAGTTTGGCGTAAAACAAGTTAGATATCTAGAGGACTGAGTGTCCGTGGTTCACTTCCGGCCGGGTGGTGATGTTGGTCGTGTTTCCTTACACCTGCTGTCCATGTTCACCTAGCAAGCAAGTAGGTACCTGGGTGTTAGTCTACTGGTGTGAGTCGCATCCTGGGGGACAAGATTAAGGACCCCAATGGAAATAAGACAGACAGTCCTCGATGACATTGACTTTTTTGGGTTACCCTAGATGACTAACCCTCCGGGGTTAAAAATCCAAACAAATCTTAGGAAGACAAAGAACGCGAGATTTAACAGATGTGAGTTTGGGAGAGAGAAAAGTTGGTTTATCTCAAGAGCAAACTGAAGTGACGAAGTCAGGAGTCTACTCAAGGCGACAAGAGCTGGTAAGAGCTGTGATACCATGGTAGCGCTCTTACTGACCCTCGCAGCCTCAATACCAAAGCTCTTAGATTATTGTACGCTTCTTATAAAAGTATATAAGATATAAAAAAATAAACAAAAATGTGCTTAGATGTTATTTTATTGCATAATTCGACGATCCAAACCAGTTTGAATAAAAAATAGTGAATGTACATGCCATTGTGCATAGGCCTACGGTAAGAAAAAAAAGCCTATCACAGAGAGGTGGACATAAACATGAAAAGGAGGATGAGTAACACACGTCCAACGGTAACTATAATTATTTACTAAACTCTTCTCCAGCGCTGCAGGCTTCGTCAGTCGAATATAGTGATGAATTACAATCCTGGAGACAGTAGGCTATTGGGAGAGGCAGTGTGAAGTACTCAGTCCTCGAACCTTAGGTTAGGTTAGGTAAAATTGATCAGGAAAAAGGACAAGTGTTTCCTGACGCTTGTCTCAGTCATATGATGGCCCACAGCAGGAGATTTTGGTCGTCTGATCGAGGCCTTTCACTGGCTCATCCGTTTAAAAATAATGGTTATGGTTATAGCAAAACGAATAAAACATAAGAGGTGTTCCTTAGCTAGATCGGTAGCGCACTCAGCTCACACACTGAGGTCTGGGATCGATCCCCCGGTACAAGTGTAACATTAGGACGTTACCATAAAACACCTGTTGTCCCTGTTCAGATATCAGTAAAATAAGTACCTGGGTGTTAGTCGACTGGTGTGGGTCGCATCCCCAGACAAAACTGACATAATTTGCCCGAAATGCTCTGATAAGGGACTTTCTATACACTAGTATGTCATGGACCTGCTTCATATGGGTCAGTAGGCCTATTGCAGTGTTCCTTCTTTCTTATGTTCTTATGTTCTTATTGATGTCAGCTAGACCTGTATACCATGTACAAGTACTTGTAGAAATAAAGATGTTATTATTATTATTATTATTATTATTATTATTATTATTATTATTATTATTATTATTATTATTATTATTATTATTATGAGTATATTATGTAGTAGGTAGGTAGTGTTGTGTGGTAGCTGGGGGGTGCTGCTGGTGGTGGTGGTGGTGGTGGTGGTGGTGGTGGTGGTGGTGGTGGTGGTGGTGGTGGTGGTGGTGGTGGTGGTGGGTGGTGGTGGTGGTGGTGGTGGTGGTGGTGTGGTGGTGGTGGTGGTGGTGTAACATTCTCCTCTATTGTTTGATAACACTAGTTATACCATGCGATCTTATCTCTGAATACACGTACTGATAAGATTTTTGCTGAGGACATCCCTTCCAAGCTTCATGCCAAGCCTTTCGATCAAACTTCCTGCCAAGCTGTCAGTCAAGCTTCTGCCAAGCTGACAGTCAAGCTTCCTGCCAAGCTGACAGTCAAGCTTCCTGCCAAGCTGACAGTCAAGCTTCCTGCCAAGCTGCCAGTCAAGCTTCCTGCCAAGCTGTCAGTCAAGCTTCCTGCCAAGCTGCCAGTCAAGCTTCCTGCCAAGCTGACAGTCAAGCTTCCTGCCAAGCTGCCAGTCAAGCTTCCTGCCAAGCTGACAGTCAAGCTTCCTGCCAAGCTGTCAGTCAAGCTTCTGCCAAACTGACAGTCAAGCTTCCTGCCAAGCTGCCAGTCAAGCTTCCTGCCAAGCTGTCAGTCAAGCTTCTGCCAAACTGACAGTCAAGCTTCCTGCCAAGCTGACAGTCAAGCTTCCTGCCAAGCTGCCAGTCAAGCTTCCTGCCAAGCTGTCAGTCAAGCTTCCTGCCAAGCTGCCAGTCAAGCTTCCTGCCAAGCTGACAGTCAAGCTTCCTGCCAAGCTGCCAGTCAAGCTTCCTGCCAAGCTGACAGTCAAGCTTTCTGCCAAGCTGACAGTCAATCTTCCTGCCAAGCTGCCAGTCAAGCGTCCTGCCAAGCTGCCAGTCAAGCTTCCTGGCAAGCTGTCAGTCAAGCTTCCTGCCAAGCTGTCAGTCAAGCTTCCTGCCAAGCTGACAGTCAAGCTTCCTGCCAAACTGACAGTCAAGCTTCCTGCCAAGCTGCCAGTCAAGCTTCCTGCCAAGCTGCCAGTCAAGCTTCCTGCCAAGCTGTCAGTCAAGCTTCCTGCCAAGCTGCCAGTCAAGCTTCCTGCCAAGCTGACAGTCAAGCTTCCTGCCAAGCTGACAGTCAAGCTTCCTGCCAAGCTGACAGTCAAGCTTCCTGCCAAGCTGCCAGTCAAGCTTCCTGCCAAGCTGCCAGTCAAGCTTCCTGCCAAGCTGTCAGTCAAGCTTCCTGCCAAGCTGCCAGTCAAGCTTCCTGCCAAGCTGCCAGTCAAGCTTCCTGCCAAGCTGCCAGTCAAGCTTCCTGCCAAGCTGCCAGTCAAGCTTCCTGCCAAGCTGTCAGTCAAGCTTCCTGCCAAGCTGCCAGTCAAGCTTCCTGCCAAGCTGTCAGTCAAGCTTCCTGCCACCCTTCAAAGGTGATGCCTGGGCATTGGTTACTTACATGACAGTAGTACTAGTAGTAATAGTAGTAATGGTGGTAGTAGTAATTGTAGTAGTAGTAGTGGTATTAGTAGTAGTAATAGTAACAATAGCAGAAGCACAATAAACGAATACTGAATCAACATCTTGTGATGAAGTAAACTTGAAGGTTCTTGATCTTGGGAATTGGAGCTACCCTCCCCTTCCTCGTATTAAATCTGATCATCTCCCATTTCACAGGCTGTGTATATCCCTTACGTAATATACACAGCCGATGATGTATTGTACAGCCTAGTGCAATATGTATGGGGCGACTACCACCCACATTATGGGGTGACTACCACCCACATTATGGGGTGACTACCACCTACAGTATGGGGCGACTACCACCCACATTATGGGGTGACTACCACCTACAGTATGGGGCGACTACCACCCACATTATGGGGTGACTAACACCCTCATTATGGGGTGACTACCACCTACAGTATGGGGCGACTACCACCCTCATTATGGGGTGACTACCACCTACAGTATGGGGCGACTACCACCCTCATTATGGGGTGACTACCACCTATATTATGGGGCGACTACCACCCACATTATGGGGTGACTACCACTCACAGTATGGGGCGACTACGACCCACATTATGGGGTGACTACCACCTACAGTATGGGGCGACTACCACCTACAGTATGTGGTTACTACCACCCACAGTATGGAGCGACTACCACCCAAAGTATGGGGCGACTACCACCCACAGTATAGGGCGACTACCACCCACAGCATGGGACGACTACCACCCACACTATGGGACGAACACCACACACAGTATGGTACGACCACCACACACAGCATGGGACGACCATCACACACATCATGGGACGACCATCACACACAGCTTGGGACACCCACCACACACAGCATGGGACGACCATCACACACAGTATGGGACGACCACCATACACAGCATTGGGACGACCACCACACACAGCATGAGACGACCACCACACACAGCATGAGACGACCATCACATACAGCTTGGTACGACCATCACACACAGCTTGGGACACCCACCACACACAGCATGGGACGACCATCACACACAGTATGGGACGACCACCATACACAGCATTGGGACGACCACCACACACAGCATGAGACGACCACCACATACAGCATGAGACGACCACCACACACAACATGAGACGACTACCACACACAGCATGGGACGACCATCACACACAGCATGGGACGACCATCACACACAGCATAGGGTGACTACCACCCACAGTATGGGGCTGTGACCTACATAAACCCATCAGACATCCAATGGGTCTTAATAATTTTTACCTGATGCCAGAAATCGAAGACTGGTGACCGAACGTTGGTTGTGTGCTGGGGACTGATGACCACCGAACATAGGGGACTATGTGAGTGTGACTGGCTAGATAGCCCCCCACGGGAGGGTGTTACGTCACGCTGAAGTTGGAAGTTCCGCTGATAACTCACAGGCAGGACGATAACAGTTATCACCGCTACAGTGTCGAGGAGGGAGAAGACTTTAAAGAAAATGGACTGGCAGATACAACACTGTTATACACCACTACAACTGTTATACACCACTACAACACTGTTATACACCACTACAACACTGTTATACACCACTACAACACTGTTATACACCACTACAACACTGTTATACACCGCTACAACACTGTTATACACCGCTACAACACTGTTATACAAGACTACAACACTGTTATACACCACTACAACACTGTTATACACCACTACAACACTGTTATACACCACTACAACACTGTTATACACCACTACAACACTGTTATACACCGCTACAACACTGTTATACACCGCTACAACACTGTTATACAAGACTACAACACTGTTATACACCACTACAACACTGTTATACACCACTACAACACTGTTATACACCACTACAACACTGTTATACACCACTACAACACTGTTTATACACCACTACAACACTGTTATACACCGCTACAACACTGTTATACACCGCTACAACACTGTCATGCACAACTACAACACTGTTATACACCACTACAACACTGTTATACACCACTACAACACTGTTATACACCACTACAACACTGTTATACACCACTACAACACTGTTATACACCACTACAACACTGTTATACACCACTACAACACTGTTATACACCGCTACAACACTGTCATGCACAACTACAACACTGTTATACACCACTACAACACTGTTATACACCACTACAACACTATTATACACCACTACAACACTGTTATACACCACTACAACACTGTTATACACAACTACAACACTGTTATACACCACTACATACACTGTTATACACCGCTACAACACTGCATGCACAACTACAACACTGTTATACACCACTACAACACTGTTATAACACCACTACAACACTGTTATACACCACTACAACACTGTTATACACCACTACAACACTGTTATACACCACTACAACACTGTTATAAACCACTACAACACTGTTATACACCACTACAACACTGTTATACACCGCTACAACACTGTCATGCACAACTACAACACTGTTATACACCACTACAACACTGTTATACACCACTAGAACACTGTTATACACCACCACAACACTGTTATACACCACTACAACACTGTTATACACCACTACAACACTGTTATACACCACTACAACACTGTTATACACCGCTACAACACTGTCATGCACAACTACAACACTGTTATACACCACTACAACACTGTTATACACCACTACAACACTGTTATACACAACTACAACACTGTTATACACCACTACAACACTGTTATACATCACTACAACACTGTTATACACCACTACAACACTGTTATACACCACTACAACACTTATACACCGCTACAACACTGTCATGCACAACTACAACACTGTTATACACCACTACAACACTGTTATACACCACTACAACACTGTTATACACCGCTACAACACTGTCATGCACAACTACAACACTGTCATGCACAACTACAACACTGTTATACACCACTACAACACTGTTATACACCACTACAACACTGTCATGCACAACTACAACACTGTCATGCACAACTACAACACTGTCATGCACAACTACAACACTGTTATACACCACTACAACACTGTCATGCACAACTACAACACTGTTATACACCACTACAACACTGTCATGCACAACTACAACACTGTCATGCACAACTACAACATTGTAATACACAATTACAACACTGTCATGCACAACTACAACACTGCTACACAACACAACTACAACACTGCTACACAACACAACTACAACACTGCTACACAACACAACTACAACACTGCTACACAACACAACTACAACACTGCTACACAACACAACTACAACACTGCTACACAACACAACTACAACACTGCTACACAACACAACTACAATACTGCTACACAACACAACTACAACAACTGCTACACAACACAACTACAACACTGCTACACAACACAACTACAACACCGCTACAAACCACAATTACAACACTGTTACACAACAAACTACAACACTGCTACACAACACAACTACAACACCGCTACAAACCACAATTACAACACTGCTACACAACAAACTACAACACTGCTACACAACACAACTACAACACTGCTACACAACACAACTACAACACTGCTACACAACACAACTACAACACTGCTACACAACACAACTACAACACTGCTACACAACACAACTACAACACTGCTACACAACACAACTACAACACTGCTACACAACACAACTACAACACTGCTACAGAACAAACTACAACACTGCTACACAACACAACTACAACACTGCTACACAACACAACTACAACACTGCTACGCAACACAACTACAACAATGGTACACAACACAACTACAACACTGCTACACAACACAACTACAACACTGCTACACAACACAACTACAACACTGCTACACAACACAACTACAACACTGCTACACAACACAACTACAACACTGCTACACAACACAACTACAACACTGCTACACAACACAACTACAACACTGCTACACAACACAACTACAACACTGCTACACAACACAACTACAACACTGCTACACAACACAACTACAACACTGCTACACAACACAACGACAACACTGCTACACAACACAAACTACAACACTGCTACACAACACAACTACAACACTGCTACACAACACAACTACAACACTGCTACACAACACAAACTACAACACTGCTACAGAACACAACTACAACACTGGTACACAACACAACTACAACACTGCTACACACACAACTACAACACTACTACACAACACAACTACAACACTGCTACACAACACAACTACAACACTGCTACACAACACAACTACAACACTGCTACACAACACAACTACAACACTGCTACACAACACAACTACAACACTGCTACACAACACAACTACAACACTGCTACACAACACAACTACAACACTGCTACACAACACAACTACAAAACTGCTACAGAACACAACTACAAAACTGCTACACAACACAACTACAACACTGCTACAGAACACAACTACAACACTGCTTCACAACGCAAATACAAACACTGCTACAAAACCGCAATTACAACACTGCTACACAACACAACTAAAATACTGCTATGCAACACAGTTACAACACTGCTACACAACATAATTACAACACTGCTACACAACACAACTACAGCACTGCTACACAACACAGTTACAACACTGCTACACTACATAACTACAACACTGCTTCACAACACAACTACAACACTGCTACACAACACAGCTACAACACTGCTACACAACATAACTACAACACTGCTACACTACATAACTACAACACTGCTACACAACACAGCTACAACACTGCTACACAACATAATTACAACACTGCTACACAACACTGCTACACAATACAACTACAACAGTGTTACACAACACAACTACAACACCCCTACAAACCACAACTGAAACACAAAGACAGACCATAACTAAAATGTAACAATGTGTTGCTGCAGACATGCAGGAAGGCAGATATGCAGATAGGCAGGAAGGCAGGCAGGCAGACAGACGGGAATGCAGACAGGAAGGCAAACAGGCAGGAATGCAAGCAGGAAGGCAGACAGAGAGACAGGCAGGCAGGCAGGCAGGCAGGCAGGCAGGCAGGAAGGCGGATAGGCAGGCAGGCACGCTGATAGGCAGGCAGGCACACTGATAGGCAGGCAGGCAGGTATGCAGACAGACAGGCAGGCAGACAGACGGGCAGACAGGCAAACAGACAAACAGACAGCCAGACAGGCAAGCAGACGACAGGAAATCAGGCAGGCAGACAGGATTCAGGTTCACTGTCGCCACCAAGTAACCCAAAGTTCGGACGTCACAGCCTGGTACCAACAGGAAAGAAGTCACTACCTTAATACGTACCCAGCCATCCTCGACCACCTCCTCCTCTCCTACCCCTAATTCCACACCTCCATTAGGTGTGCCACGTAGCTCACTAGTAAAAACACTCGACTCACATTTGGAAGATTCCGTGCTCGATTCCCTAACTACGGAAACTTAGGATCCTGCTTCCTCAAGCCTCTGTTGCACCTGCCACCTACCATTAGACCTGAAAATGGGTCTAATCCTCTCTTTATTCATGTGAAAGTTGTTTCAAGCTGATCTATGGTTGAGAGAAATATAAATGAATCAAGCTACACAAAAAGTACTATGTATTTTAATATGGATATTAGTTCAGGGTTATACAAATTAAAGTCATTTATAATTAATGATATTTTAATAAATTTAAGCTGTGCGAGGCAGATCCTGATTTAAATAACAATAAACTGGAGATTCTACTATCTGAAGTGTTGCTTCCCAAGACTAAACCCATCTTAGTAGGAACTAGTTACCGCCCTCCCACCCAGGACCAGTTCTTAGAAGACTTTTCCAGAGTCTTGTCCGGACTTGAAAACAATTGCGAGACAATAATACTGGGCCACTTCAATATCTGTTTTCAACAGCAAAATAACGGGCTATGCAAAAGGTATAAGCAAATTCTGGATTTAAATAGTTACACTCATCTAATTAATATTCCAACCCGGATCACACAGTTCTCAGCCACCCTAATTGACCACATACTTTGTAACCGCTCTGAGAACATTAGTCAGTCAGGCGTCATTACCACAGGTCTTAATGATCATTTCATCATTTACTGCACTAGGAAAATCACTAGAGATAGGATAGGCCTACACAGACAATAAAAATGAGGTCAACTAGAAACTACAGTAAAGAAACACTGGTAAATAGGCTACACAATTGTGACTGGACAGAGATAACAAGTTGCACGGACGTAAACGATGCCTGGGAAAAATTCAAAACAATGTTCACTACCATTCTTAATAATATTGCACCAGTTAAAGAGGTTAGGATTAAACGAAGAACTGAGCCCTGGATGAATACTGAGATATTAGATAATATGAAATTCAGAGACCAGCTGCTAAAAAGATTTAAAGCAAACAGACAGGATATTGCAGCACTAAATGAATTCCAAAGGGTGAGGAACAGAGTACAGAGACTTATAAAAGGCGCAAAGGCAAGGCAC